AGGAGGTTAAAAAACAGATCAAAGAGGTATTTATTCAGTTAAGATCACAGAAGATATAACTAAACAGATGATGAACGTAATAACCCAAATGATCAAGGACTTTTCAAAGATACTAACAAAAAGCTAGCTAAGCTAAACAAAACTACATAAAACATAAATGACAGTTTAGCAAAGATCAAAGTTCATGAAAAGGTTTCAATAAAATCCAGATTAAAAATAACACTGAAAGTATGGGCAACAGAAGCAGCCAATGTAAGGACAGAATTTCTGAACTAGAAGACAATGCTGCCTTTAGAGACCAACTACTGGAAAACACCTAAAAGCAAAAGAGAATATGAAAAATGTATTTGACCTCTTCAAGAAGATGCAAAGACTAATCTAAGAGTAACTAAAATAAGTGAAAAATAGACAACACAAATGGCATTAAAAAACCCGTTCACAGAAATGGAAAAAAAAAACTCCTTCCCAAATGCAGGGAAAGAAACATATATAAGTGGTATAGAATCCCAAATAGCCATAACTTAAAGAGAACCTCCCCATACTACATTACACTCAAAGTTGCAAAAGTCCATCACAGGGACAAAATCTCAAAAGCGATTAAAGAAAAGTAATGAATGATATATATAAAGGTAAACCCTCTAGAATTACAGCAGACTTGCCAACACAAACCTTAAAGGGCAGGAGGACTTGCAGTGAAGTGTTTCAAACCCTAAAAGATAACAATGGATAAACTGAATATCCACAAGCAGAAGATTGAATACAGCCTCATATATCTAACCAAAATCAAAATGGATCAACTAAAATCAAAATGGATCAAATAATTAAATGTTAAAACAAAACAATCACTGGAAGATAAAACAGGTACAACTCTTAAAGACATAGGTATAGACAAGGGCTTTTTGAACAGAACTGCAATGGCACAGGAAATAGTACCAAGAGTCAACAAATGAGATCCTATCAAATTAAAGAGCTTCTGCTCAACAAAGAAACAACAAACAGAATGAAGAGACAAAAAGAGAAAAAAAAATTGACAGCTATTCCTCAGGCAAAGAAAGTATCTAGAACATATCAAGAAGTCAAAAAAATTAAGACTACCCAAATTTAAAGACCCAATCAAAAATTAGACATCTAAAATGAAAAGACATTTCTCAGATGAAGTACAAATGGCCAATAAATACATAAAAAAATGTTCAATATCATTGGTCATTCGAGAAATGCAAATTAAAACAAAACTGAGATTCTATCTCACTCCAGAAAGAATGGCTATCATGAAGAAATCAACCAATAAACAAATGCTGGCAAGCCTGTGAGGGAAAAGGAAAGCTTCTCCATTGTTTGTAGGAGTGTAAACTAGTACAACCACTGTGAAGGTCTGTATGTGGATTCCTCAAAAAACTAGAACCGGAAGTTCCATTTGACCCACCTATTCACTTTCTAGGTATCTTTCCAAAAGAGTTAAAGGCATACATGATACATGCATATCCAGCACAATTCATAATAGCTAAATCTTAGAAGCAGTCTGTATGTCCATCAATAGATGAATATATAAAGAATATGTGATACTTATATACAATGGAGTATTACTTTGCCATAAAGAAAGAGAAACTTGAGTCGCATACAGGAAAATGGTGTCCTTTGAGACCATACTGTTAAGTGAAGCAAATCAGACACATAATCTTAAATATAAAATGATTTTCTCTCATAAAGTGCAAAATAAAATAGGGAAAAAGTTACTGTAATCCAGCATGATCAATGCATCTAAAAGTATACCTTGATTTAGTATAATTCTTTTATGCATTTCATGGTTTTGAGCCTGTCAGCTATTAACCTGTGTTTATGATAATTAACTTGCTAAAGATTTATAACAAAAATAAATCTGATGCTGGCAAAAGAAAAAAACTTAAATGAGGGTAGAGGGGAAGGGAAATAAGAGAATTGAGATGTGTTACATACATGTACCAATTCTCCATAATTAATGAAGTTGGTATGTATTGCAAACATGTAATAACAAAAAAATTTAAAGATTTTTGTATATCTAATTATCATTTTAGAAATAAATTTATAAAAAATCGTAAAATTATGGAATCACCTTTAAACAAACAAACAAAAAAAAATAGATTGCCAAAATAGAATAATTTCACCAAGGGATCAAAATATAAGACTATACAGCAAGAAAATAAAAAGCCAGAAAAATATGATGAAAAAGTCAAACAAAAAACAAACAAGAAGTCAAAAACAGAATTTAGATAATCCATCATCCAATTAACTCAAGTTTAAGGAAGAAAACATAGGAAAAACATGAAGGAATATATCAAAAGTAAAGCTGCAGAAATTTTCTCAGACAGACATATATCAATTTTCAAACTAAAAGTTTGGTAAAAAGAGAGATGCCCCACACCTAGTCATATCTTCACATAAAGAAACCATGCTAAAAACTTGCAATGACAGATTAAAAATAGGTCATCTATAAGTAACATCTCTGCTACAATTAAGATTTATGGGGCTGGGGATTTAGCTCAGTGGTTCTGGAGCCTGACTTGTAAGCGTAAGGATCCGAGTTCAATCCCCAGTACCAAAATAAAAAAGATTTATGAGGGTTCCCAAAACTCACCAGAATGCCATTCTCCCTTCTCTCATCCTATCCTTCCCTATCACTCAAAATCCAACTCAGATGTTGCTCCTCTGTGAAACTTCTTACCAAGTATTCTTTTCAAAAATGATCTTATGGGCCAGGGATTTAGCTCAGCAGCACAGTTCCTGCCTGGCAAGTGTGAGGTCCTGGGTTCTATCACCAGTACCAAAAAAGAAAAAAAAAAAAAATGATCTTATGCCCTCTACAACTTTCATTTGACATTCAATCTATGTTCCTTATGCCTATTTCTTTCTGGGTTTTGTGCATGTGTTTGTTTTTTGTTTTTGTTTTTTGAGACAGGTTCTCATTATGTAGTCCAGGCTGGCCTCAAAATGGCAGTGATTCTCCTGCCTCAGCCTCCCAACTGCTGGGATAACAGGCATGTGCCACAATATCTAGCCAAGCCTTATTTCTTGGAAATTTCATTTAAACTGTTGGTCTCAGAAACTGAGGATGCTGCCTTGAAAGATTTGTTTTTGTTTTGTATCTTCCAAAGGCCACTGTATCCAGAAGAATCAAACACCAAGTAGATCTGAAATTAGTTCCTAAACGTAACTTCATTCCTTCTTTTCAAAAACTCATGAACAAGTTTTACATTTACACTCATAGCTAAAGTTCCTGGAAATCTTAGAAGAAAAAATATAAATGGCAAAAGATATTTCATTTAATGTTATTTCACAATTTCCACAAACTGCAACTTATAAATTATAATTGCAAAGTACTTATCCTAAACAGCAACTAGAAATGCTTTTTACTGGCTGATGGTAAACAACTCAGAGAAAGAGAACAAAACAATTACCTATGGACAGAGATGGGGAAGTAGAAATATATCATTCTTTGTAATAAAACAATTATCTTAACCAGTGTCAATGCCAGTAGTTGCCCAGCTCTCAACCACATCCATAACCTTGTGTAATAATAAAATTCCAGAAAGTCTGGGTCTAAAATTCTTATATATGGTAATCAAGTTCTGAAGAGTCTATCATAAGATTAAAATACCTATTATTCTGTCCTCCCAAGCTTTTAACAATTGCTAAGACACAGAATGAAAAACATAGCTCATGATTATTATAAAGCACTATTTAAAAAACAAAAAATCCACCCAACTCAACTTTTAGAAGTTTTTACCATGTCTACTTGTAAAAAGAAAAGAGATTTTGCCCATGATTCCCTATAAGTGATAAAGCAATAAAAAAAATAATACAAATGTGTAAATGTCTTTCTAGTTCTAAATTTAAGTCTCCTGTTCAAAGGGGTTAAAAGTAGAGAGATCCGTTAAGTTTCATAATTACTACTTATATCTTTTCTTTCTTAGACTTCAGATATGTACTTCAGCTAATAGCCAATGTAATACAGATGGACTCTGTTTAAGAATTAGCTTTATCCTAGCTTTTACTAGAAATTCTAGAAAATGAATAGGGAGGTTCTTGGGGGTCAAGGGAGGGCAGGGACAAGGGGAAAAAATGAGAACCAAGACCTGTCATATAAAGGTACATGATCCCAATAATGAATGTAACTGTACCATATACCTAAAATGTACTAATAAACTCAATGAGAAAAAAAAAAAGAATACTTTCTTGCTGTTAGAGCTCATTAAGAAGCACTACGTTTTCTTGCTCAATATAGCTCCACGCTGATTTTTCAAAGAAATTGAAAAGGCTGGCACTCCATTTGAGGTCTGATAAATCAAATTATGAATTACCAGTCTAATAAAATTAATAGCATTCCTAATCAAATATTGTAACTGAAGTTTTCATTTAATATGTCTTTCATTCTCTCTAGAATTACAGGTAAAAACCATGAGTATATACATACATATACGCACTCCTCCCTTCTAGAAATAGCTATTTTAAAAACAACAAATTATTCAAAGCATCTTATTAAAAGACACTGTATCTTCTACCGACTTGTTTGTATAGGCAAATATAATGCATGCCTCACCAGGAAAACTAAATATATTTGAGATCTAATGAAGTTTGAATCTAAAGTATTGGGAATTATTTTAAAACCTAAAATGATGTATTCTGTACCACCTTTCTAATCAAACATTTTACCATTTGCTTCACGGATCTTAGCACCAGGACTACTTGTAGATTATTATTTATTAATTACTAGTAGTATTATAGAATTATCAATATTGCATTGAACTACTTAAGATTCAATGAAAGCTTATATAAATATTTTTCTGAAGATACTATTTTAAATGATCATTTCTAATATTTTCAGTGAGATACAATATTTTTATTTTTAATTTAAAATATTCAACAAATAAAATAATCACTGACATCTGTATATTAACATGTACACAATTCTTTCAATGTATTAGGACATGAAAATCTTACAGGAATTTAGCTTACTAATAGGAAAAGATTGATGACTTAAATTGTTGGATATCCTCTCACTCCTTTGATGGATGAAACTTAACAGTCTGACAAACATAAAACACTATGAGGTCAGTCACTGTCACACTGACCGAAGGGGAGATGGAGAGCTTCATTTCACTTAGCAGTTAGTAAATCAAGCATTGCAATAAACCAACAAAATATTAAGCTGGTATTTGTTGCAGGAGCATTTGGATTTTGAGACAAATTTTTATACGAAGACCATTTTTGTGTGCTTATATTTAAATATGATGAGCCTAGGTACATATATCAAATTACTAAAGGCCCTGTGTACAGAGCACCAAATCAACCTAATTATAGTTGATGGCAGTAGGAAACTAGGAAAATCGGAGGGCCTCTGTAAAACTGACTGAGAAAGAAAACTCCATGAAGTGTTTGGTTGCAGCTGTGTAGTAGTGAAGGCTTATGACAAAAAAATGTCAGGCCAAGGATGTCAAAGAGTACTTCAAATGCAAGAAATGAGCAAATAAATAATTTGGCTTACTTTCCTCACCAAAAGAGGAGAAATGAAATCTACTGTGTTGATAAACAAGTGGTGAGGATTTACACAGGTAGAAGACACTAAAACTTCCTAACTACAACTTACAACTAAACTGAAAAGCCAGAAGAAAAAAGATAAACAATAATCTCAGAGTTTAGTAAGAGGTATCAAAAATACATACATGAACTTGGATCTTTGGCTCTTTTTTCCCAAGTTAACTCTTAAAAGAGGAAACTGCATTCACCAATTTAAGACTACAGAATCAGTAACTTCCTATTTAAGTTCAAAAGATAATGGAAATACCAATTCCTCAGCTTGGAAAAAATTTTTGCTTGAGTTTTTTATTTGATTAAGAAGAATACTCACATGTGTGGGTTTTGGACTCCTGTAGTATTGGGATTCAGAGTAAACCTTGCTGTAGATTTGACAGGTGGGTTTGCAAAATTCAACTTCAGTGCTTTGCGTTTACCTGAGAAATAACAAATAAGAAGTAAAAGTTCCAAGTACTATAAAACAAGTACTTTTCTGACTGCATAAGAAATTTACACTAACAAGAAGAAAAAGATGCTTAAACAAATAAGGACAGTACAAAAAATAAACAAATATAGGACAGTACTTTGAAAGGCAATAATGATTTCTAAAAATTATGAAAATTATCTAAATTTGTTAACTAACCTCAAATCACTCACTACACTACATAAGACAATCATGCTGAGTGCTTCAAATTTACATTGTTCAAAGGTGTTAACACACTTTTGCAAAGGAAAATACCAATCTCATTTATTTCAGATCTACCAAAAATTATAAAATGTTATATCGCTAGTGTTATAATTTAATGTCTTTAGTTTAATAAAAACTATTTTGCCTCACACTTAATATGAACATTCATTTTAGTATCTGAAGCATTCTGCAACCATAGTGGGCTAAATACATTCGGTACAGTCAGTCAACTTCAAGTTAATAACACAGGTATTCCAAATAATTACATTCTTGAAGCAGTTTCTCTGGTGTGTGCAGGAGGAGGTATCAACATTTTTTTATTACAAAAACATGTTTAATATAGAAAAGCCAGAAAATGAAGAGATTAAAATATGTAAGTTTTATAGATACACATCTATATAATACATAGCATTTTTAATTACACATACTTATTAATCAATTACTCCACAATAATCAGTTTACTTTTTACTACAGACTGTCTTCTATATACAGATGCCAATGTGTGTTTTCCCTATAATTTAAACAGATCACGATACCATTTTTCTTTTGTTTTGGTTCTGTTTGTTTTTGAGACAGGATTTGCTATGTAGCTCAGGCTGACCTTGAACAATGTATTCCAGGCTGGCTTCAAAGTCATGACAATCATCCTACCTTAGCCTCCCCAGTGCTGGGATTAGAGGCTTACATCACCATGCTTGACAAGGGCACTTTTTAACTCATCAGCCACATTTCTTTATCAATACATCTTATAAAATCATTTCTTTAGAATTTATATAGATACTCTAACAGAATTGGAGCTGTAAGGATTTGCAGCAAGTTTTGGCTTCATGGTCACATTAATAACACCTTTACCTGTACTCACTCTTTACAATGTATTATATGTATTATCAACCTACTTTTAAAAATAATAAAAACTTTGCAATCCTTTTTCCTACCTCAGTGGATTCAGAAAATGCAAAGATAAGAGCACAAAGCTCTATGCCATGATTCCCAGGTCAGCTAAGAGGAATGAGCCTTTCTCTAGGACAATGTAAATTCCCAAGAATACTATACACATTCATTTTCAGAAATAAGAGTAGTATGGCATGAATTTTTCCACAAAGCCTACCCTTTCAGATGCCAAACGTATTTTAAAACATTTTTATCTGACATCAGTAAAGGACATTCAAACTACCAATGCAAGTGGTACTCTATGAAAAACGGCAGATTTCACTATATTAAAAAACAGAGTATATATTACCAGAAAAAGTTTAAGAAGTTAAAACATGGGAAATCCTTGCAATACAAAATCAGTTACTTCTAATATATAAAGATATCACACAAATCAAGGAACAAAAAACTTGACAAGGATATGAACATACAAACTAGAAAAAAAATACACGAAAAGATATTAACATCAAAAACATTGTAAATCTTTTGCTCATGTGAAGTTGGCAAAATCTGGGGTTTTTATATTAGATATAGAAATGGATACAGGTACCAAGTTGACCAGAATGACTAGGTAGAAGAATCACTAACATAATAAATTGCTCATAGAAAAGTAAATTGGCAGAATTTCTGATGAGAGTTCAGCAATATATAAAAAAAATAATTTTTAATAATTATGCCCTTTTACTCACTGGAAATTTGTCTGTAATATTTTAAGGCAGAAAGTTATTCCCAGACCTGGAACCCTAACCAAATTTGTTTTACTGTACTCTGACATTGCTTGCAACTAATGACTCCTTCCTTCAACTTTCTCCTGTTTTTTAATGAGAATGTCTGTTATCCAACACTTGTTTGTTGTTAGCCAACACTGTTTTGGTAGTAAGTACTGTAGCTTGTCTTCTATTTTTTAGGTCCAAAAATGAAAGGAGATTATTACTTCTGAATTGATAATACTGAGTTGTTTTTTTTCTTCTTCTTCTTCTTTTTTGAGATAAGGTCTTGCTACTTAGTTCAGGCTGACCTTGAAATCATCATGTAGCCCAAGCTGGCTTCAAACTCACAAGGATCCCCCTGCCTCAGCCTGCCAAGTGCTAACATTACAGGCATGCACCACCATGCCCAGCAATACTCATGAGTCATCCCTACTGAAAAGAAATGATTTTGAGTAAGATTTGGGTCTTCTGAGCTGATGATATTTAGGTAGAATTTTGATCCAAGTTGACAGTATAATAATATGTAAAACTTTTGGGTGACTGAGATAGTGTGAATGCATTTTGTAAGTAGAATGCATATGAATACCGTATTTGGAAGCCAGAGGACAGACTGGAGTGGGCTGAATTGTACCCCCACAGATACCAGGTCCTAATAATCCCTGTGTGGCAGAAGATGAGGATATGACAAACAGGCTGAGGAAGCATGTATAAATTGCCAATAAGAGATCTGGGAAACACACAGAAAAACAGTTCCCAAAACCTCACATCTGGGACCAGAGAATGCTACCTGCAATTTCTCTAGCAAGAATGAAAGGAGGTTCTTGAAAGGTTGGCCCAGAACTGATGTCAGCCTAAGGATGGAGGATACAAAAGACAGCCACCACTGAGCTCCTAGCCACTGTGCTCTCTCTCTCACACAGTGGTCTGCTCTCATCCTGTATACTTCCTTTCCAACTTTTAATTGCCCCCCACTTACTCTGCAGAGCATGTTTCTTTCCCTATCTTTAATAAATGTAAAGCATCACCACTGTACCTTTTGCATTTTTCTTGACCAATTCTTTGTTCAGGAAACAAAGAACCTGGAAAACATCACTGGGAAGGAGAGCTTAGAATCCCAGAACCAGGCAACAACTGGAACATATGAATGTCAATTTCTAAGGCAAAGTATGTGCAGAAAATATTAAAGATCTTTGCAATCATAAATTTGAATGGGTTCAAACCCAAGAAATCCCCATATTAAAAGTTGTCGTGAGGTATGTGTCTGAAATCATCTAGTATATCATTCATGATCTCCATATGAAAAAAAAATAAGATCATATGCAGAGCAAAGATAGAACAAAGAATCACTGTGAAAATGATCTAAAAAACATGATGCTGGTCCTTTCTTCAAAAGCACAATTCTAAGGACAGTAGGTAAACTCTGTGGGCAAATAATAAAATATATTACTAAAACTTAGACTTAAACTGTTTTCTTGAAAAGAAATATTTGTACTAAAAATATAAAGAAGTTGGGTGTGGTAGCACAAATATGTAATCCTGCATTTGGCAGTCTTGATGCAGGAAGATTGCCATGAGACAGACAGATGGACAGACAGATACTCTTTTTCAATACTGTATTCACATTTAAACCAAAAAATTGAAGCCATTTACTTCACAAACATGGACAAAATATGACATATAAATTATGTGTTAAGCACACTGTATGCTTCAGAAAGAACTGTAATTGTCTCAACAAGTCTGATCATTCACTAATAAGAATAATAAATAACTCCAAAAAACTTCAAAGTGTCTCCAAGCAAGCACAACTCAATCCTAAAACCAGTGTCAAGGAGTTTAGAGTAAGATCAAGTTAGGCGGCCTACTCTAATGTGTACACCCCAACTCGCCAAACAATGATGGTTAGACTAAGATGGATTCAGAAGGTAGTCCTGAGGAGGAAAAGCGCCAAAAAGTCAAGCCAAGAGCGGCACACACCCCCTACCCCCATACCAGGGATTAAACTCAGGACCTCACACTTGCAAGGCAGGCACAGCCCCACTGAGCTAAATCCCCAGACCGAGGGGTGTTTTTTATAATACACAGTAGAGGCTGCTTCTGCCTATCTGTAGACAAAAGCTTCTCCTCTCTCCACTCCCACACCCAGCAACTCCTCCTCTCTCATTTTCTTGCTCTGAATACTAAAACCTCACTCTATCAGTGCTGACTCTTCTGTTTCACTTCTCTTCTTTCTCAAGGGCCCAAATGATCAAACTTGATCAGATTTTGCCACCATACATTCAGGTTGTCATTTGTTTGGGGCTCAGAATTGAAACACCAATTCTACTAATGAGCTACCCCCCAACCCAGTGTCAGACACTTTTAATTATAAAAATTACAAACAGGACATTAGTATAGTTTTTTTTTCAAAAGCCTGAAACAACTTTCACTGGGAGATAAGGAAATTATACTATAAATAGCATGTGAAGATTTTTAGATGACAACAGAGATTACAATATTTGTAGAACAGAATTAAACGGATCAAAAAAGATTATAAATGTATGATAATATTCCACTAATGGAACTGTCATGTAATCAATAACCAGTCAGCAGAAATAAAAAGAGACTCCTCTGAAATACAACAAGAGAAAAACCAGTCATGATTAAACATTTTAAATTAGCTGGGCATGGTGGTGCACACCTGTAATCCCAGCACTCAGGAGGCTGAGGCAGGAGGATCGTTGTGAGTTCGAGACCAGCCTGGGCTACATTGTGAGTTCCTGGTCAGTCCCAACTACCCAGTGAGACCCTGTCTCAAAACAACCCAAAAAAACAAAAAAAAAAAAAAAAAAAAAAAAAAAAACAAAAAAACCCCAAAGCTCAACTTCAAAAATGAGAAAATAAGTGACAGAAAAGAATTTACTTTCAAACTGGGCATGGTGGGGCACACCTGTAATCCCAGCACTCAGGAGGCTGAGGCATGAGGATCACTGTGAGTTCTGGACCAACCTGGGCTACAGAGTGAGTTCCAGGTCAGTCTCAATTACATAGTGAGACTCTACTTCAAAAAAAAACCTAAAAAAACCAAAAACAAACAAACAAAAAAAAACCCAAAGCTCAACTTCAAAAA